AAGTTAAATACAACTTTGTATATTCACGGTGAACTCTTATGAAAACGTGTGCAGTTGTTATCACAATTTAATTGCGCGCCCTAAAGAATTGCTTGTTTTTAAATCAATAAAGGCTTCTTAAAGAAGCAACAACAAAAAGTGCTTTTTAAGCGCGCAAAGTTATACAAACAGACTTTACAACACCAATACGTAAACACTCACACTCAGCTAAAGTCACACAAAGCATAATTGCATTAGCGCTCAACCATTCACTCAAAAAAACACAGCGTAAAAACAACTCAAATTACACCTAACAACATGGCACCGCAACCGAACAAACGCGCGCGTGAAAACACCACCACTGACCTCAAGGAAGGCCGCCAGTCAGAAGCTATATCAGCAAAGATACTGGCCATGATCAATCTTCGTTTTGAGGAGCAGGCCAGCCTAATCACCACCAAGATGGGAGATGCTGAGCAGCGCATCCTCAACGCGCTGCTGGAGCGATGCGACCATTTGGCCGGTGAAGTGAAGCAACTTCATGACAGGGTGGACAGTCTAAATGAGAGGATGAACATTATGGAGCGCGAGGTCGGAGATCTGCCTACGTTAAGGGAGCGGGTCAGGGTGTTGGAGGCGAAGCTCGCTGCGCAGCTTAACGCCAATGCCGCCTGTGATATACGTGTGCATGGAGTTCCACACGTGGAGGGTGAAAATTTGCGTACATTATACAATACCCTTTGCTTTGCTATCCCCATCACACCACCGCCGAGAATACGTGAAATCTTTCGTGCTCGGAAAACACAGGTATCTGAAGTCGATCCCGACATTATTATTAAATTTGAAAATTCGAGAGAAAAATCCACGTTGCTGAAGGCAGCTGCAGCATACCGTCGCGAACACAAAATGCCGCTGAACTTGCATATGTTAGGCTTCGACTCTCCGGTCCCCATATACATTAATGACCAGCTAACAAGGGACAACTACAAAATCTTAAAAGAAGCGATAAAGCTTAAGAAGCAGAAGCATGTAGTTGCTGTTTTCTCACGAAGAGGCACAGTACACGTGAAGCGTAGGGAGAACGAGAGCGCGAAGCCCATACTAAGCAGAGACGAGCTTTTAAAGTTCGCTCACTGTAATGAGCGTGAGTTTCGCTCTCCCTCTGACTCTAATTCTGCTCTGGAAACCAATGCAAGCTTTTACTAATAATATAAGTTTTAAGTTTCACTTTGCTAAATTGCTCTTTCTATATACTCTATATTGTAAATGTACTTGTATTTATAGTGTGCAGACTCATCAGTGCTTTTGTAAGTTGTAAAATGCGTGGGCGTCTGATTACTTTTCCGAATCCATGCCAGATGACCTAAGTCATATGTCCACAGCGAACAGTCGAACTATTATTCGAGTTCTATGCAAGCAAAAGAAGTGTCTACATATGTGCCACCTCAACGCACAAAGTCTTGTTAAAAAAATGGACGAGTTTAGATATTTATTTGTCAATTCCAACGTCGATGTAGTTTGTGTGTCTGAAACGTGGTTTGTTTCTAGTCTTAGTGATCAATCTATATGTTGTGAAGGGTATAATGTCTATCGTTCTGATCGTGAGGGGCATGCGGGGGGTGTGGCCATATATATAAAAAACAGTCTGAAATGTCAGATGATTAGCAAACAGCCGTTGGGAAGCAATCTGAATATCTGTTCTTGAAAATAACAACTCGCAGCAATACTGAAAGCATCCTTGTCGGATGTGCTTATAGACCAAACAAGTTAACGGATTATAGCGATTTCATGAGCACATTTCACTCGGTTTCTCTAAAACACAACAATATTGTCCTAGCTGGAGATTTTAACAGCAATATGTTAACCGAACATCACCTGAGGGACGATATGATCTCTCTTGGCATGGGACTAGTAAACAATACTTTACCGACACACTTCTCCAACACTTGTGATTTCCTCCTTGATGTTCCTCCTTTTTGTTAATGACACTGAAAAAGCTATCCTGTTTGACCAGCTTTCTGCACCAGCCTTCTCTAAACACGACATGATTTTCTTGACGTATGACATCTACAAAGATCAAAGTAACCACGCAATCTCTTTTAGGGACTTTAGGAATATTGACCATAGGCTATTGTATGAATACTGTGATAACTTAAACCTTGACGAAATATTTACTAAGCCCACTGTTGACGAGCAGCTTGAACTTTTCAATAAACACATTCAGCATCTTTTTAATACCTTTGTGCCACTGCGATACAAAGTTATCAAGCCAATCGAAAACGAATGGTTCAGTAGAGATATCGGCTGTGCAATAAAAAGCCGAGATCATGCATACAAAAAGTGGAAACGCTATAGGACTGCGGCTTACCTATTGCATTATAAAAAACTTAGACGAATAGTAGGGCTGAAGATCACAAGTGCCAAACGTGCCCATTACTCTGCCAAATTCAATTCAGCCCTATCATCAAATCAGGTTTGGACTGAGCTAAAAAAGTTAGGGATTGGGAAATGTAAGCCTTCTTTAACATCTGACGTAAACGTAGATGCGCTTAATAGCAAATTTGTAGATTTAGATGTACCTGAAGTCCACGAAAACGCGTACCTGAACCACACTTCGCCGCTAAATTGTGATATTAGTTTTAGTTTTATGTGTGTACGTTAATGTGATGTTTTAGATTCCATCGTCAAAGTGAAGTCAAACGCCACTGGTCTTGATGAAATTCACCCAAAATTTTTAAAATTTTTACTCCCTAAAATCTTAAAGCATATTACATATATTTTTAACTCCATTCTTACAACCTCATGCTTTCCGTACAAATGGAAATTCGGAAAAATAATCCCTATACCTAAGGGAGACAATGAATTTCGGCCAATTGCCATTCTTCCATTTCTCTCAAAAGCATTTGAACAGCTAATGGCTAACCAAATTACTAACTTCTTGGTAGGAAAATCATTATTAACTGACAAACAATCGGGCTTTAGAAAGAATAGAAGCTGCATAACATCACTGTTAAAATTACAGAGGACATTCGCAAGCAAGTCGACAACAGTATGGTAACTTTTCTTACACTTCTTGACTATTCTAAAGCTTTTGACACGGTAAACCATACCATACTTTGCACAAAACTAAAAAGACTCTTCAACTTCTCTGACTCGGCAATAAGTCTAGTGCAATCGTACCTATCCGGTCGCCATCAAGCAGTTGTCACCTCGTGTAGTTTTTCGTCTTTTATGTCAATAAAACGTGGTGTCCCACAGGGATCGGTGTTAGGGCCTCTGTTATTCTCTATTTATGTTAACGACCTTCCACGTTTCGTGTCCAATTGCGAGATTCACATGTACGCAGATGATGTCCAGTTATATGTTAGTCGTCCGTTAAATAGAATAATAGAATGTGTTAGTGTCTGTAATGACGATCTGTTAAAAATCAGTGAATGGGCGAGAATTAATGGTCTTTAGTTAAATCCGAAAAAATCTAAATGCCTGGTATTATATAAAAAGAAAATTAACTCACTCAATCTAGAGAAATTGAAACTCAGCAATGAGCATATCGATTATGTCAAGAAGGCAAATAACTTAGGAATCACCATCAATGAGACTCTATCCTGGCATAATCACGTTAACAATGCAGTAGGCATCTCTCTTTGACGCAGAATTTCCTCCCAGGCAAACTCAAGCTTCTTATTGCAAAGTCATACCTGATACCCTCATTATTTTATAGGATTGAGTTATTTGGAAACTGCGATGCCGCAAGCCAGAATAAATTAAAAGTCGCCTTCAACAGCATTGCGCGATATGTCTATAACATTAAACGAAGAGAATCTATAACGACATACGCTAACAAAATTTTTAACCTGACTCTTCACTCGTGGATAAAACTTAGGACTCTAATTTTCTTGCATAGAACCATTAATCGTAAAGAACCGAACTATCTGTATAACATAATCTCATTTAATTCATCAAGAAGAAACAATAATATAGTTTGCGAGAGATATAGATTATCCAGTTCAGAAAAGCACTTTTTCATCTTTGCTGTTCGTCTGTGGAACGAGCTACCACATAACTTAAAAATAATCAGCAACGAGACGCATTTTAGAACTAGAATTGAAGCACACTTCCAAGAGTATAACTAATTGAAAAAACAAAAAGCACTAAACCTATACTATACATTTACATTCATTAGGCAACTCTCTTGTACCAATTTAATGATAACGATAAGAGCAAAAGAAAAATCACCTTAAATTTACATATGTATTAATAATAATATAAAAACAGGAAAAAACCGAAAGAAAAACAAGCCTTAAATTTATGTATTAATAATATTAATCTTATAAAAATAGGTTAAGTAGGTTATAAACATCACTATTCATTTTATCTAAGAAAATTGCATACTTTGTGACTAGTCCATTATTTTATAAGAAATCTTCTTGTCGTACTAGGAATTAATAAACAAACAAACAAACAAACATGAGCAGCGATTTTATTTATGGCTATAACTTTCTTCACAATTGATGAAACTTGGTACATGGACACATTAGTACTAACTGGATGTACCTACCAAAATTGATTTCAAAATTCCAAATATTACGGAATTTATAAAAAAAAAACGAATTGCGGGGGAGTGGGGGGGTGTATCAGAATAAAAAAAATAAACTTGACCTGCCTAGGACTTAGGGGAACCTCGATACCAAGTTTGGATATTCTAGCTCTTGTACTTCCTGAGATCCTTGCGCTCATACAGACAGACGGACAGACGCACGGACGGACATGGCTATTGACTCGCCTTGTCATCCTGATCAAGAATACATATACTTTGTGGGGTCTGCCACGCCTCCTTCTGCCTGTTACATACATTCGCACAAACTAGTATAGCCTTTCACCTTTCATTACAGGCTATAATAAATTGAGTGTTATAGTAGAGCCGGCTTGGCTGTGAAATTCCTAGTAAATACAGTCGATATATAAAACTAACTATATTTGTGTTGTGTACTATTACGATAGCAAGTTTTTGTGCAACTTACATTTATATTAGCAGATAGTGGCCCACGCATTATCTCTGGCGTATCAGCTTCGAATCCAATGTCCCCAAAACCATCGTCTTGTAAAGATAGTGACAAGCTTCCGTAATCTTCACGCATTGTGATTTCATCTGCTCGCGATTGATTTATGGCGAATTGCGCTTCAATATCGATGTCATTTAATTCAGGTAAGGCAGTATCGAAATCATGAAAAACTTCCGGTAGCGTAATAGCATTAACATTTGCTTCTCTGTGTCCTTCTGGCAAATCCACCATTCCCGGGCGAAAGGCCATCTATATACAAAAAAAACTATTACTTTGCCAATAAAATTATTTTGAGCAGCGGGTTACCTTAATCTTGACAAACGCCTCATTGCAATCTGCCAACAAATATTTTGCCTTTCTTGAATATATGCGTACTACACCCAGCAACAAATGCCCCGAAGTACGAAGCGCCAATTTCACTTTGGGTTGTAAAATACCTTCCACTGATTTTTCAATGTTTGTCTCAAATACATGAGCTTTTGTAATTTTTTTATCCCAATGCGCAGCAAGCCAAATTCGAGCTAAAGGCCCTTTTTTGGCCAGTATAATATGTTCATAAAACATTTTATGGACGTCACTTCAAAAAAACACGATAATAAAAAAAATGGCTGCGTACTAAAATGAGTAGAACATATTTGCAAATACATCGATTTTTTTTTAGCATCATTGATGTGTTTGAACATGAGTACTCGATACATTCAGGTTTTTGTTACCGCACAATATATTCATAAATGTATGCGTCTAGAAACGAAAAATTGGAAACCATTTTGAAACAGTTGAAATGAAATAAAATCAATAAATTCATGGGTGCCACAGAAATCTCTACCGCCCAAGTTACGCTTCAAATCCAATTCTCAGTGCCACAGAAATATCTTTTGGGTTTGAAATCTCATTTGATTTGCCAGGAGATTTGATTAAAAACATTACCAAAGAAATTTTTTCATATAAAAAATATTATTGGAATATCAACCTTATAGTTTTTCTTAACAATGTGCATAAAAATATTTTGTAAATCCTGTAAATCACGTATACCATGTAAATATTATTAAATAAGCAAATTACAAAATCTATGGTTAAAATTCTAGCATACACACATAGCATACGAATAGCAATAGAGCAATAGAGATGTCCACTCGGCCCAAATACAAAATTAAATTGTTCGAACTTTACATTTTGCTGAACTAAATCTTATTTTGTAATTTGAACGAAAGGTGTTCTTGTTTTAAATAAGAACAAAATAACTGTGTATTAATTAAGCAAACTTCTGTGCAGACAGGTCTGTGTGTTAGCGAAAATTGGCAATAAGCGAAAAACAAAGTAAGTAAATTTTTTAATTTTAATTTAATTTCAAATGCTAGTTTCTGCAAAACATAGATAGTCATAACAGAACGAAATTTTAGTCCAATTTATGGAATCACACCCCGACATTGCCCAAAATTCCGTTGCGGAACCTAAGGAGATTTCTGTGGCATCCCTAAATGATAGAATTTTACAGGGTTCGTAAAATGCACACAATGCACGCTGCTGCACACGCTTGCAGCGCTGCCGTGTGCAGTGTCGTGCAGGCCGACAAAGGAAGGCAGTGTGCAATTGTGTGCCAGAAGGCAGCGCCCGAGCGCTCGATCGTGCAGCCAGGCAGATGCCGAGCGCTCGTTCGTGCTACGCAGGCATATGCATGTGCATATATTTCAAGGTGGAATGTGCGTGATCTCTTTCACTCTGTACCTGTCGTCTATTCCGTTTTAGCTTCACCCAGCTATTTTGCCTACATTTGCACAGTGGTAACTGATACGATTGAAACTACCGTGGTGTTGCAACTACTACCTATTTATTCCCATACCAATAAGACGTGCAGTTCGTTAGAATAGTATAAAATTAGAATACTTGTAGTATAAAATATATTGTAAATAAACAACAAATGATCTATTTATGTCCTATAGCCAAAATATTAAAAGACGTTTATTCAGAAATTTAGTTTTAGGTATCACTATGCAAACGCAGACAAAACAGTTGGGTGAAGCTATAAGGGATGAAACGGGTCGCGCACATATAGTAGTAGTACACAAGCATTCCATCATACAAATTTCACACATCACACAACCTACATATGCCTACGTAGCACGAACCAGCGCTAGGCCTCTGCCTGGTTGCACGATCGAGCGTTCCGCCGCTGCCTGCCTGCACACAACTCCACACGGCCTCTGCCGGCCTGTACACTACTGCACACGGCAGTACTGCATGCGTGGAAGCGAAATATATTGGGTGTATAATGTTTGTTTGTGTCATTTGTATTTTAGTTGTTTGTGGCGATGAGGGGGAAATTTGAAGACCGAAATTGCGTTTGTATCGGCAAGTTAATTTCCTTTTTGTATATATAGCTTGGTATCCATATATCATATATTCACCCCTTTTTGTTTTCAGGAAAGTAATTGTTTCTAAGATAGCTATTATTTCTGCTGAATAAATAGATGAGTATACTTGTAGGATTGGATAATGGCAAATGCTGTTGTGTGAGTTTTTTAATTTTAAAACAGATTGATTTTATTGGTTTTTATGGTGGGTGATAGAATAATCAAATTCGTATAGTTTTAGATTTAATGGAATCAACTTTTGCTATGTTTTGCTTATATTGAATTTTTTGATTATTTTTTCAAAAGGGCCGTTTGGTGAAAATATTATGATTTTTTCTAAGTGCCAGGTTAAAAAGTCTCTTCTGTTCGACGTTTAAATTGTTTGTAAGAGTTGTTATATTATTGTTGTCTGTCCATCCACCAAATTTTTTACACTGATGCCTTATATGCCTCATACGCAGTGTGATGTACCTCCACTCCTCCACTATTAGTGATTTTCCGTAATGGCACGACGTTCGTATAATCACCTATATCTCGGAGAATAGAAGAGCTAGAGATACCAAGTTGAAGGCCAAGATGTTACTGCTTTGTACTGCACCCTTACACCCAATACATAGACACAGTATCGGTGCAAATGTGCAATTTAAAATATAGGACTATATGTACATGCTATGTATTTTTTAATTTATTTTCCCCTTTACCTAAAGGGTAAAAGGGTATACTAGTTTTGTGCGAATGTATGTAACACACACAAGGAGGCGTGGAAAACCCCACAAAGTATATATATTCATGATCATGATATGAAGACGAGTCGATATAATCATGTCCGTCTGCCTGTCCATCCGTATGATTGCAAGGATCTCAGAAAGTATAAGAGCTACAATACCCAACCTAGATTCTAAGCATAGAAGTCCTTAAAAGGACGACTGTGTGTTTTTTCTGATAATTCCAGTTGATTTCTCTTCGCTTCGATGTGTTTACGCCAAGTCGTCTACCCAAGGTATGCTATTTCGGTTTTTAGTGGAATGTTGATTTTGTTTCGAGACAGTGGATGGCAGGTTTGTCTGTTTAGGGTAAAGGTGACATGTTTGCACTTTTGCTCGTTTAATTGTATGCGTCAGTCTGCTAGCCATTTTTCTATGGCCACAAGGTGAGATGATAAGAATTCTGTATACTTGTTGCGCACTTGGAGCGACTTAGAATTGCAGTATCATCAGCAAATGTCGAAATTGTTGCATGTGGGTATATATGCTGCGTATATGATATACGGTGTCGGTCCAAGGACGCTTCGTTGGGGTACACCAGTTTCAATTGGATGGTATTCAGGGACGAAATCTTAGCATCTAACTGCGAAACTCCTTTGATGTAGATATGACTCCAGTATTTTATGGATGTTCTGTGGAAGTAGTATTTGGATTTTGTGAAGTAAGCCATCCAGCCAAACGCGGTCGAAGTCTTGGGCGACATCCAGAAAAACAGCGGGGCAATATTCTCGTTTTTCAAATGCATTTCGTATCTCAGAGGTTATTCAGATAACTTCTTCAATTGTTCCATGTTTTTCGCGAAAACCAAATTGGTGATTTGGGATTGCACTGTTGGTTTATAGGTGCTTAATGCGATTCAGGAGTAGTTTTTCGAATATCTTCGATTGGCACGGCAGGAGACTGATAGGTCTATATGATGATGGCTGAGACTTGTCCTTTCCGGCTTTATGAATCATTGGGATGACAGATTTTCTCCATTGTTGAGAATAATAGCCACATTTCATCATGCTGTTGAAAATGATGGTGAGAAAATATACTGCTCAGCTCGGAAATTCAATTATCATTTTGGGGGAATTCGTGACCTGGCGCTGTTTTTTGCTTTGAGACTTGGTCCTTAATGACACTTTTAACTTCTCCTGCCAGGAATACGATAGGCGTGGTAGCTTCAAGATGATTGGTTAGTGGGAGCACAAAGCTATTTGTTGCTGGATGTGGTTTGAAGACTTTTTCTAAATGGGCAGCAAATAGATTGGCCTTCTCTTCGTTGCTGCGAGCCTACTTCCCTTTGTGTACGTAATGGTGATTCACTCTCGATTGGTGGATATACGCCTGATTTAGCTTTCCACAATGGGAATCGTTTGCTGTTTGGAGAGAGTTGATCTGTGCGCTTGCCACTCCCGCTGAAGCCTTCTCTTATTTCGTAGCAGCTCTTCAATATGCATGGGAACACGACTGCGTTTGTAAAGTTAATAACCTGTGATTTCTGGAGTGGAATGTTTTTCCGCCAGTGACATTACAGACACTAATGCTTCAACTGAGCTATCTATGTCATCTTTACAGTTAATGTTTGGGCAGTCATCAATATGGGAACTTTCGTACTTCCTATATTTAAGCCAATCTGTTTTTCTAGAAGTCAGTTAGTGTGGGCGCTGCGAGTACTGTGGGTGGTCATAAAGGTTAAAAAGGATTGGCGAGTGATCCGATGATAGATCTGTTAAGTGCTCAATACAAATCTTAGCCTGTGGCACTCTTCTTGTAACAGCAAAATCAATCACGTCTGGTTGCTTCTTTGGATCTGTGGGCCAACATGTACAAGGAGCTTTCCAAAGTAAACAGGACTTTTTGAATCTAGCGCCCCCTGGTGGCGTTATCTATATGTCGACTGGTACGTTAGAATCTGCTATCTTTATCGATTGTCCAGTGAGAATTTCATGACATTTCATCGATTGGAAATGAAGTTATTGCGTTTTAAGTGTCAGTATGTTTGTCGGTGCGAATATGAGCTCCGAACAAAGAGCCAACATTAAATTTTGTTTTAAAATTGGTAAAACTTTTACCGAATCATTTCAACTGATGGAACAAGTTTATGGCGATGATTGGCTATCCCGTAGCATAGTGCACGAGTGGTTTCAACGTTTTCAAAGTGGTCGTGAGGACATAAATGACGATCAACATGTGGGGCAATCAAAATTCGTGATTGAACATCTCCAAAACATCGATTTATCGCATTTTGACCGAACATTTGGGCTTACGAAAGGTGTGTGCACGGTTTGTTCTGCACAAATTGACTGACGACCAAAAATTGCTCAGAATCCAATTCGAAGGACATCATTAAAGAGGTCAAAAAGGATAAAAACTTCCCTTACAATATTGTGACTGGTGACGAAACGTGGTGTTTCCAATATGATCCCGAAACGAAACGCCAGAGTGCACAAAGAATTTGTTCCACCCGGTCAAAACGTTAATGCGGTATTCTACC